TCAGTCACACCAAGCACCGTGCTAGATGCTGGGTGTTAATAACAGTTATGACTCCTTTTTTCATGGAGCTTTCAAGATAGTTAAAATATAATGAATAGGAAGGAAAAGAGAAAATTGTGAAAATAAAAACAGTATATTTGGAAAGGAAGGAGCAGAGGTAGAGAATCCAGGTAAACCAGGACCCCAGAGCATGGTAAGGTAAAGGTAGAGAGGAAGAAGGGTTTCATTTAAAATCTTGGTGCTGGAAGACACCTCATGAGCACTTAGCCTACCCCCACCCCTCTTTTGAGACCTGCAAAAAATAAATCCCAGAGAAATTGCTATTCCCACAAGATCATCTATTGGCTACCTTTATCAAATGTTTGTATGTGTCAGGTACTTTACATTTATTACCTATTTACTTTCATTAACAACCTTTAGATTGTTAAGAAATAATAAAGACATGTTAATAAGTAATTATTGTGTTAAGTAATACTACCTAGAAAAGTAGTATTATTATCATGATCTTATAGATTCAGAAACTGAGGTGCAAGAGAGGCTAAGTAATTTACCCAGGTCACACAGCTGGTAAGTGAAAGAACCTGGGTTCAGATTAAGGACATGTGACTCTGAAACTGACCCCAAACGTGCTGATTCACTTTTGAAGTCTTTTGCATCCACCTTGGTGGCATATCCTACAGTAAAGTGTCAAGCTTGTAACATAGTAAATGTATGCTCAGCAGCTTCTGTGTTGCCTCCATGTTCATCTCAAAGCCTGTTTTTTATGGGAAAGTGTTGGCAAGATTTCAGAACTTGTTATGTTCCTTTACATGCCCTGTCTCCCCAGTATGCTGCCTTTTCTGCTTCTCCAGTCTTCAAGCCCTGTTTGGTATGCAAGTGAGTGGTGTGGAAAAATTGAGCACCAAAGACGAGTTACTATCTATTTCCCACCCACCCGTTCCTTTGTCTCCTCCCCCCAACCCATAACCATCCATTTCCCGAAGGGAGCTGGCATAAGGGATGAGACCAGATCTGTTGTCTTGCCAGAGACTCTGTTCCTTCTCCCTGGCAGCGCCGTGAAACCAGAGCTGTGATGCCTTTCAGCGGGGGTGCCTCAGTTTAAATTCCAAGGGATTCATTTTCTGAAACCAAGCTTTGCATCTCTCAGGGAATTTTCCTCTCCTTTTAATGTCATAGAGTCATGCAAGTGTGCTGGCATTCCCCACTTCTCCCAAAGAACAGACTTCATTTTGTTGGAGGTTTAATAGTTTTTCCTTCTGTGTAAGAGGTGTATTTACCATTTTAAATTTATGTGTTCCCTTTGTGTCAGTGTTATATATTTGGTGTGTTTTTTTTATTCCACGTACCCTGTGAAATCATAGTGTTTGGGTGGGCCCTTACATATTGGCCCAGATTTGATTATCAAGGATAAAGAAAACCTCCAGCATTTCTGTCTCAGAGAGAGCTGGAAGTAATAAACTCCGGAGTTTCCCACAGTTCCAGTTTCCAGAGTCTATAAATGGTGATGCTTACCCCGGACTCAGAGTTGGAGGAAGGGCTGAGAACCACCACATCCTGGTTGTCTGGAGTCAGATGGCCTGGGCTCTTTCCCACTGCTGTCACTAGCAGGTTATGTAACCTGGAGCGTCATTCACTATTTCTTCCTTCCTTTTTGGACTGGTAAAGCACGTGATTAGACATCATTCACTGTTTCTGGTCCTACAGCTTCTTCATCTGTAGAATGAGAATAACAGCTATCTATCTTGGGATTGTTGTGAGGCTCAAGTGAGATAATTTATGTAAAGCACAGTGCCTAACAGTTCAGTACTCAGTAAATCTTGACTGTTTCGACATGACACATTAAATTATTTTACACGCTTCTTTAAAAAATCTTTTTTTTCCTTTTCCATTTACAATGGTGATTTTCAAGCATACGAGTATTATGTCGGGAGGAGTAGATGAGTGGGCTGGGATGGTGATAGCAGAGAGACCATGAACCTTAGAGAGTAATTGTGACTTAAGCACAGGGCTACTTCCTGACCTCAGTTTCCATGCAAGTCAGGAAGCTATGAAGACTAAGATAGGAGTATAAAATGAAAAGGTGTTCCTACAAAGGTAATTAGATGCAGGCTACAAACACTAAAATCCGGGCACCTTCCTAAGACTACAGCTTAACGCCAAAGCATGATGTCATGGAAACAAAAAGTCAGCATTAAGAAGATAGCCTTTCCTATTGTGTCTCTTGGTTGTGAAATCTAATTATGGCCTGTTGTGGACATTTTGGCTTTAATATCCTGATTACATTAGGACTCCAGGAATCCCGTTCAGTCTCCTTGAGTTCCCATCCATGTGTATTCCATGTGTTTGTGTACATTTCCTGTCCCACACTGTTACATCTGGCACACAGCTGTTGTCATATACGTGGTGATGGGTGTCCATCAGTGATATGGATGAGGTTAGTGGGGGGACCTTGGGAATCCCAGAGTATGAAGGACTCTAGGGAGTGTAAGCAGCCAGAATAACAGATAGGTCATTTCATATTCAGCCTCCTCTTGGGGACGATGAAGTTAGGTCCTGGGCTTTTCACGTATTAACATATGAATGTGAATGTAATTAATGCCACCGAATTGTACACTTAGTGATGGTTAAAATGGCAAATTTCGTATTATATTTTACCAGTTTTTAAAATTTAACAGTGTAATATACCAAAAACCATTGTATACTTAATTATACCTCAGTAAAGCAGATTGAAAATCTAAGAATGCTTTAACAGTCGTTCCCTATTATCAATACAAAAATGTTTTGTTTACATTGCTGCATTAAAAATGACAATACTTTAATGGTAGCAAAGAAATTGAATTTTATTCATTTTATTCATTACTTTTTAAACCTCATTTTGAAAAAAATTTAGACTTCCAGATAAGTTGTGAGAATTGTACAGTGAACTCACACGCTCATCACCTAGATTCACGTATTTCATCGACTCTTTATTCCCAGTGTTCAGAAGTGATGTGCTTTGATATGGTTTTTGTTTCATTGGTTTTTAGTTGTTGTTCTATCTTTTTGTGTTTTTAAAATTCAGTGTACTCATTACTTATTTGGTCCTTTCAACCTGAAAATTTGCATCTCGTTCGTATCTTCTGTTCTTAGAACTTAATTTCTTTGATAGTTGTTTCTTCCATATTCTGTGTTTTCTTTTTCAGGAGCCTCCTATTAGATGGATGTTGGACCTCCTGGATGTTCTCATCTTTTCTGTCCTGTTTTTCATCTCTTTTTGTTCACCAGACTGCAATACGTCATCATCTTTATCTTTCAATACTGCCTTAAAAGAAAAATTAAGCTATCATATTTTTAATGTTCAAGGGTTCTTTCCTATCTTTGGTAGATCTTTTAAAATAAAAATAGCAATTTATTCTTATTTCATGGGTGAAAAAGTCTCAGAGGATATGATGTGTTGTTGATGTTGTTTAAATTTCTTCTGTTGTCTCTGTTTCCTCCAAGTTCCTGTTTTTCTCTTTGTTCATTTGGTTTCTGTTGTTCATGCTGAAGATATTCTTGAAATGTCTGATTCTAGGATCTGTTTGTGATTAAGAGGGAAGCACTAAAAACCTGATCAGAAGTTTTTTTGTTTGTTTGTTTGTTTTTCACAGTTCATCCATTTAGTAAACGTGTGACAAGAACAAAGCTAGGTGTCAGAAATCTGAAGACGAGTAATCTAGGGGTCTCTTTTCCCAAAGAGGCCAACTGTCTGATTGTAACAAAAAAATCTAAGCAGGGGAAGGGCAAGCTGAATGGTCAAGTACTATTGTCGTTCACACTCAAGCCTCACTGAGAGGGTATTGCCATGTTCTCTTCTCCTGTGGGATCCGAGGTGCTTTCTAGGTCAGACCGAGGTCTTCTAGGGCGCAAGGGACAGGGTGGGGAAGGCCCAGGGTGACAGTGCACATCAGGGTGTGTCAGACGGAGAAGGCGAGCATGTGCACTGGCACGGCAGTTCACCTGGACACATGATCAGAAGTTTTTTGTTTAAGGGAAGCTTGTTGCCCGAGGGCTTCACTGTAAGATGGTGGAGCTTTGCTGTAAGGTGATGGAGCTTCGCTGTAAGACGGTGGAGCTTCGCTGTAAGATCATGGAGTGACAAGTAAACCACATGACTGCCGATGTTTTGGGATCCGGAGGAAGACAGAAGGCCATAGAGCTCATCATTCAAAATATAGGCTTTAATTGCATTTTCCTCTCATCTGTGCCTGTGTTTCCATGTCTAGAGCTTCAGTTTCCTCAGAGGATAAAGCTCCCTTCTCTAGCTCGGGCAGGGAAGGAGAGTAGTTTTCTGGCTGAGTGGGTAGGTGATGGGGAGGCCTATGCCCTGGGTCTGTTGCTGCTCCTTACACATATTTTAACTAGTCCTCCTGTTTTCAACCCCCTCCTCTTACTCACAAGGGCCCACTGAACATAAGCCCTGAGCCTTTGTGGGGCTACAGTTGGGGCTTGCTTGCCTTGTTGCTCCCCCTACCCTCCGCCCACCTTTTGGTACTTGGGTTTCAGCTCTCCCTCTCCTGTGCGGTCATCACTGCTCCAGCCCCTTTCGGTCTTTCAGAAACATGTTCACACTGCTTCTCAGCTGCTGTGTCTGCTCCCATTTCGTTGTCTGGGTAGGTTTATATCTGTCAACTGCACTTTTATATGTATGTCTATATATATATCTATTAACTCATTTTAGTGGGTTTGGGGAGGGAATGAAGATAAATGCATGTGTTTAATCTGCCATGTTTGACTAGAAATCTCTTCTCAGCTGCAAAACTTCTCTGCCCCTTGTTCAGGGGTATCAGAGCCAAACTTAATTAAAGAGCATCAGCACAGATTTTGAGGGAAAGACTTTGAACAGTTGCTTGGCCCCTGGATTAGTCATGGGAAAGGCCATCAGATCTCCCATGTTCGGGTTTGTTGGTGACGCTGGGAAAGAGATCAGCCTCATTGTTACTAGATCCCTCTCTGACCCACATTCATGTGCTCTCTTGCAGAAGTGGGGCAGTGTGAGCAACCCGCTCTTCCTGCCACTGATCCCGCCACAGTCTCAAGGTTTCACGGCCATCGTCCTCACCTATGACCGAGTGGAGAGCCTCTTCCGGGTAATCACTGAAGTGTCCAAGGTGCCCAGTTTATCCAAGCTGCTGGTCGTCTGGAATAATCAGAATAAAAACCCCCCAGATGGTAAGAAGGGAGGGGAGACAGTGCATTCAGGAAAGGCCTGGTTTGGGCGTTAGCGAACCCCTCAGCTGGGTCGATATTTGGATGGCCAAATGATTTGCATCCTTTGGTTTAAAATGAATTTTCCTGCTCTGTCAACAGTAATGCCATTTCTGAGACAGCATGACCCCGGTTTTCTCAGTCATCCCATCCTTGTTCTAGGGTGGCCCGTTTAACTCTAAGCCCATGGCATGCTCTGTAGCCACAAGTGTTTGAGGGCTTAGGAATCAATAGGATCAAAGGCCATCAGCCTTGGGAAAACAGATCTCAGCTTCCCTCAGCCATCTCAGCTGATTTGTTTACATGAAAACACAGTTTAAAAGGCATTAGTTTTCTCCTTCCTTATCTCTGCTCTGATACTGTGTTCTTCTTCAAAAAGAACAGCCTCACCTCCGATGGGGAAAGTTAGCAAGGCACGCCCTCCCAGGCTTGAATCAGTTCCTTAAAGTGAGCCCTCTCTGGAAGTTCCCACCGGCTCATCCTTAATGGCTCTGTTGCTTGCCTTGGCCACCCCCGTAATCTGGAAGCTAGGGTTGAGGGCTGTTTGATTCACTGGATTTGTTTTTAATTCAGGACGCATAGAGTACGTTCCACCTGCATTTTGTTTCTCATTCAGTCCGTCTATTACTGATCCTAATCCCAGGGACTTCAAAGCTCCTGCCCTTTATAGCCTATTAAAGCCAGGAAGTTTCTGATGGATTAGAGCAAGGAATGAGTTTGAAGTTTGTAATGTGCACCACTATCACCGATAAGGTCTAGTTTATTGCGTGACAGTAGTATCTGTGCTTTTTATGGCTGTTCTTGTTTAATTGGTTATACTGAAGTCAGGATAGTCAACCCTGGAAACTCCCGGTAGCAGATCCATAGTCTAGGCTGGGAGAAGAACGTACTTCTGTCTGTGAGGCAAATCAGGATTTAAATGTCCTCCTGAGACATTTAAAAATTTTTACTTGGTGGGACTTTTGTTCTCTGAGAGAATCAATACTTACTTTTTATATTCAGAGAGCCACAGTTTAGTAAACAAAGTAGCTATTTTAAATGAATAGTATGCCCTGAAGCACACTGCCTTTTGTGTTATTATTATTAACTATCTTTTATGCCAAGTTTTTTTCCTCCCAACATTTCTGGATTTTTCTTTTTTTTGACTCTCAATAAAGGAGGAGGAAGGGGGTAGAAGAAAACGGAAGGTGTTGGCACCAGGTGCCATCTAAGAGGGAGAAAGGGAGGAGGACGGGACAAAAGGAGCAGCGCAGGGATGGTCGTGGGAGACCCTGGTCCACCAGAGTGAGGGGGATCGGAGGTACTGCATTGCTCATTCGTCTCTTCATTTATAAAGGAGAGGTCGTGTTTTCAGAAGCAAGGCTGCGTGTCCCGTGTCCCTCGTGGGACGCGGAACAACTCTGTGTCATGCTGCAGTCACGCTCCTGCACGAGGAGGCCACCAGCTTTCAGAGAGCCTCCACCCTCACCCCGCCCTCCTGCCCAGATAGGCAGTTCTGTCCTTAGAAAACTTCATTAGCCACTTCGGGCTGAAGGGGAATCATTTATTGTAAACTTGAGTCACTTCTTTGGGGCAAGTATCATTACAAACTACGAGAAAGGAGAAATCTTTTTCTTCCTTCTTGGTCTAAGTCCCTACATTGGCATAACTAAAAGCAAGAGCACAAACCTAGGTTTTGGAGCTGGGTGTTCAGTTTTAATTTTTGGTACACCCTAGTAAAGTGTAGTGGTTAATTCTATGACCAAGAGTTTAGTTTATTTTTGAAATATTTTGGCTCTAGAGAGGAAAGACAGCCCTCAACTGATGAGGCCCTAATTTTGACACGGTTAGGGACTGGACCAGCTTTTTTCTAACAGTGGTTTTTAGGTCAGGGCTCCAGCTCTGGTGACGTGGTTGTCAAGGGAGAACATGAACCATGTTTAATCTTCTGTGGGGTGTTGGTTCAGTTGGTGAATGCGGCTGTCAGCTCTGGCCCTCGTGCCAGCAGAGGCATCTGATTTTTCATGTACGGCATTAGTAACATATATATTTTTTAAAAAGCAGGTCCAAGGCTTTGAAATATTAGAGGCAAAAGTGATGTTTTCCGCTCTCTCTACATTTACTAGAATAAATATTGTGGCTAACATGCCTGCTGCTGGGAGGGTTAGTGTAGGCAGAAATTGCCCCCCCCCAACCTATTTTTTTTTCACTCTGCAACCCAGCCAAATACTTTTTTCTTTTTGGTTACATTTAAGTCTAAATTGCTGGATTTGAAGTTTAAGTAAATGCTTAGACTAGGCAATAGAAATTTCCAGCGAGGTTTCGTCACGTTGGTTTTGAGCTCTGTCAGAAGAAAAGGCAAGCCACCGCCTTCCTTCTCCCCGGCTCTCTAGTTTCCAGGCTTGATGGATATAAAGGTTGTTAGCCTTGGCCCCTGGCCCCAGTCTGAAGGAAGCTGTTACATTGTACATTTCAGATAGGTTTAACTCAGCCTTCTGTTTTAATTGATTTCAGTTTTAAATTTGAGTTGATCTCAAGGAACCCCCCATCCTGACCCCAGCTTCAGATTGGGACTCTCATAGTTCTTAATAGGCAGGATGGGATTGGCTGAGCATTTCAGGATGGTCACCTCGGAAGAGGCAAGCGAGAAGTAGAAGCAGCAGCTCTCTTCCTTCGAGCTGAATTCTGGGACCTGGGGAGTGAGGGGCATGGGGACCAGCTGTACACCAGGCAGCTCTAGCACTCCTCGAGGGGGCTCAAGATTTGTATGGAGATAATCTGATCATTTAGTTCGTGGATCTGTGGTTGTGTTTGTGACAGTGATCGCCAGGATGGGCTTTGGCATCATCAGGCAACCTGAGCATTGTGTAGTACCTTTGCAAAGTTGGAGAATTCTTGCTCACGTGGCTCTTGGCATCCAGCTTGGAGAAAACTGTTAATCGGTACACATTTTTAAAAAATCCTTAACACGAGGAGTTCTTTTTCTCCTTCAAGCTGGACTAAAGCTCAAAACTGTAAAGTTATCAGGTCAGCTGGCTCAGCTGTTTGCTTTTTATAAACTTGGCCATGTGTTTGAGAAATCTTATTTTTCAGACTACTTTGTGTGAATGGAAGGTGACATTTCTGTTTGCCAGCTACAGATTCACAGGATGAGACACAAGCTATAAGTCATGTGGTTCCATTTAGAATTTCAAGAAGTAAAGAAAAAGAGCCCATCTGGGATAAGCAGTGTAGCAAGAGGCTGAAGGTTTCTAGCTGTGACACTGTTTGCTTCTGCACCCTAAGGAGTCACCCCATATTCTTCTGTCTACACCTCTTCAAGTTGTCAGAGGGGAGGTGAAGCTCCTAGACTTTACAAGAATCCATCTGTGAAGATGAGAATGACGTAGCATTATTATAACCATGCACTGAGTACCTTTTACATCCAGGGTATAGGAACGGTGCTAAGTGCTTTACACGTATTATCTCTACTCCTTATGACAGACCTGCAAGGAAGCTGTTATTCTTCCCATTTTACAAAAGTGAAGCTCAGATTAGTTGAGTAATTTGCCTCAGTCACAGAGCTGCAAAATGGCAGAGCCAGACGTGAACACAGGTCTCTCTGGATCCAAAGCTCATGCGCTGTGCACTAGGCCGCACTGTATCTATTCAGATTGCCAATGAGCGCTCAGAAAATCGTCATGCTTTGTCAGTTCTCTAATTTGGGATTATGCAGGTGAACCAGGTCCTTATCAGGGGCTCAAGGAGAGGCAGAAGAGTAAATCTATTCTTTTGAAAATACTTAATGGAAAGAAAGAAAGAAAGAAAAAAATAACCTCTATTCTTTCTCACCTATATTTGTCTTTCCTACCTCATGCTCCTGTCCTATTTTTAAATTAATTAATTAATTAATTAATTGTCTGCATGGGGTCTTCGTTGCGATGTGCAGGCTTTCTCTAGTTGGGGCGAGCGGGAGCTACTCTTTGTTGTGGTGCGCGGGCTTCTCATTTCGGTGGCTTCTCTTGTTGCGGAGCATGGGCTCTAGGCGCGCGGGCTTCAGTAGTTGTGGCACGGGGGCTCAGTAGTTGTGGTTCGCGGACTCGAGAGCGCAGGCTCAGTAGTTGTGGCGCACGGGCTTAGTTGCTCTGCGGCATGTGGGATCTTCCTGGACCAGGGCTCGACCCCATGTCCCCTGCATTGGCAGGCGGATTCTTAGCCACTGCGCCACCAGGGAAGTCCCCCTATTTTTTTAAACAGAATCAAAATCCCATATCAACATTCTCTGCTTTAGGGCAGGGAGTAATTATAATGCTTATTCTTTGATTGCTGCCCTCTTATCTCTGTATTCCACGGAAGGGATGCTAAAGCCCGAGAGAAAGGTAGTTCCCTTTCTTAGAGGCCTATTTTATTTGAAAATGTGAAAACAAGGGCTTCCCTGGTGGCGCAGTGGTTGAGAATCCGCCTGCTGATGCAGGGGACACGGGTTTGTGTCCCGGTCCGGGAGGATCCCACATGCCGCGGAGCAGCTGGGCCCATGAGCCGTGGCCGCTGAGCCTGCGCGTCCGGAGCCTGTGCTCCGCAACGGGAGAGGCCACAACAGTGAGAGGCCCGCGTACCGCAAAAAAAAAAAAAAAAAGTGAAAACAAGAAACTGGGAATTCTACTTGAAGTCCTGTCTTGTAGTAACGATGGTTCATAGACAGCTGGACCATTGAGATGGAGACTCCTTTTGCCAAAGCTGCCTTTGGCTATCCAGGCCCAACCCAGAACAGGAAGAGGTAATCGCATTTCCAAAAAAGCCGTGATTCATTCTGCATTCCCATCTGCACCCCATATCATCCTCTTTGGCCTTCATCACCTTCTAAAACTTCCCCATCAAAGACTTTCTAGAGGCAGGTTAGTTCTTTATGGACATTGTCTCAAGTAATATGAGGATCTATGCAGGCGAAGAATGTGGAAAGCTGTCGAACATGCTGTGCACACTCCCCGAGTGCAAGTCCCGATCTCATCCAGGGTGGAGGCACATCTACACTTGACCCAAGCAGCTAGCCTGTTTTCTATACGTACTGCAGAAAGAGGGGCTGTTTGTTGCCTTGTGAAATTAACATGGCAAAAGTTCCATGCTCTTTTGTTCCGCTAGTGTGTTAGGTTTTCTCAGTTCCAGAGGATTAATGGCAGGGATTCTGTTCCTCTCAAAGTAGACATTGAAGATACATGCTGAGGACACGCCCCTGGCTTGTCAGAGTAATATACCAGATCTGACATGTCCCACTTTGCCACTGCTACCTAAGGTTCAAAAATATCCTTTGGTCTGTAAATAGACTCAGACTTTCAAGGGAAAGCATAGCTGACACTTAGTGGATATCTGCTAGGTGCCGGGCACCATGCTGCTAAATGTGTTACCGTTCATCCTCACACCTTCTCACATGTGAAGGTGGTGTTCCTCTTCCATCTTCACAGTCAAAGAAACAGGTAGAAAGCGATTGACTTGTTCAGGATCACATAGCTGGTAATGGATACACCTGAGATTTGAAGCTCTTTCCAGAGACTGTTCTTTCTGTGCAGTGTTACTGTCCATACAGTCCTAGGACCTCAGAGGCATCTTGCTTGGTCTCTAAAGTTAGTGCATTTCAAATAGAAGTGCACATTGTGTGGCCAAAGGCATTTCATTGCATCAGAAAATTCTTACCTATTTAGAGTTTAAATCAATTTCCCTGTAACTTCCACCCAGCCATTGGTCATGGTTCTAACTTCAGAGGCCATAGAAAACAATTCCCCTTTCATCTGATAATCCTTCTGATATCCCTAGTGTGTTAGTCAAGGTCCAGGTGGGAGACAGAAACCACACAGTAACTTGAACAGGAAAAGTTTAATATAAAGAATTACTAACTAGGAATAGGAGATTGGTGACTAAACGGTAAAAAAGAGCTCTCTAAGGATTACAGGAAATAAACTTGGGAGAGCCTCTTCCCCAGCTAGGTCTGAGATTCAGACCTGGCTGGAGACAGGGTGGCTGCAGCCCACTGCATGGTGAAGGTTCTCAGGTGCCACAGGCCAAGACTGGCAAACAAGAAACCAGCAGCTGCCTTGGATACCCGCGGAATTCAGCAGGAAGTTGTCCAGGGGGTGTTATCAGGCCAGCCGGGGTACTGTCGAGGGCTTCAGTTCACTGAGTTGCTCTTGAAGGTATCTGCAGAACCTGCTGGGAAGCTGCCCTTGGGGGTGCCTCCTCTAAGACCCTTGGAGCACCCCAACGTGTTACATGGATGTATTGTAAATTATGCATAGGAGATTTTATCTGCAGTCAGTTAAGACAGGTTTTTTTCCCTCCTGATCTTCCCTCTGTCACACTTCTCCTTCAGTATGGTGACTCTGGAGTGGCCACAGGCATTTTGGGGCTACAAGAATCACAAAAACTAGACCTTCCCACAATTACGTGTTGGGATTTTGGAAGCAGTATGATACCTTTTCTATTCTCGTTTGACAAATGTTGCGTGAAGAACAAACTGCCCTCTGTAGAGAACACTGAGGTCTGTGGACGTGGGTCCTGTATTGAAACAAGTATTAATTTCATGCTATGCTAAACACAGCACTTTAAAATAAGGAACCTGAGGTTAAATGGCTTCAGTCATTTCAAAGTAGAATGGGAAAAATGTAAGGCAAGTCATGAGTTTGTGTTTCTTCACTATGCCAGAAAATCCCATGTAATTGGACCTAGATATTCGATATTTACTCTGTAAATTGATCATAATGAGAAACCAAGCCCAGTGAGTCAGGAGAGCAGGGCTGTCGAGGTGGTAAGGTGCTAAGTTAGGAAAGCTGACCTCCTTCAGGGCCACAGTTCTGTGAGGGTGGATTCGGCAGCCTTGGGAGCTGTGGGTGATGGCGTGATGGGGGCAGGCGCTTCTGTCTTCAGCACGTGTATTTCCCAGCACAGCTGCAGGCAGGTTTTGAGCTAGGGTGTACCTACCTGGAAGGATTGTGCAGAGGTGGTAGAGTCCTGGTGTTCAAACCACGGGCCTGAGCGTGAGGCGGTCCAGAGCCCATTCGTCCTCTCCTCACCGTGACCTTCATCAAGTCGTTTTGCTCCTCTGTCTCTCAATCGTGAGTTGAAGCCACTTGGTGGATTCTGGTTAAGACAACATTGAGAATCAGTAGTGTTGTAAGGATGTAGAGAGGATAGAAGTATTTACAATGTAGGATATTATAAAAACGCACCTGTAAGTGTTTCTCCTTGCACAGCTGGGCGAGTGGATTTCGTGAGAGTCACGGATGTGAGCTGATTCTTCCATCTCACTTGTGATGCGATGCTTTCACCAGTTTATCTCCTCACAGAAGTTAGGAGAGTAATAAATACCTTGGTTTTTCTTTTTCCAGATTCTCTGTGGCCCAAAATCCGGGTTCCTTTAAAAGTTGTAAGAACTGCTGAAAACAAGTTGAGTAACCGTTTCTTCCCTTACGATGAAATCGAGACGGAGGCCGTTCTGGCCATTGACGACGATATCATTATGCTGACCTCTGATGAGCTGCAGTTCGGTTATGAGGTAAGGAGGTTCCAAACGGTGCATTTACATTTTTGATAGTTATTGCCCATTATTGCTTGTCTTTCCTACTAAAGAGTGTTATATTTCATTCTGTAAAGTCGTAATTTCTAAATTCTAGTAGCGTCCAAAAGCTGTGCGTAGGAGTGTAGGTTATGAAGCTGTTCTTTAGAACTTTGGGGAAACCCTATTCCAAAATGACAGCTGTGCCATCCACCAGTTTTGGGAACTCCCAGGGAGAGTCCCAGGGGACATTTTCAAAAGAGCATCTATGACGTTTAACAAGCACTTTAATTGATGTCTCCTTGAATACCACTTCCCCGACTCAAGCAGCTGGGCACAGCAACAATAAAAACATCAATAAGCAAAGAAGCTGGCGACACTGACAAACAGAAAGCAGACCCTGTTGATGGCTTTCTTTCTGAGTTTTAAGTGGAGAGGCTGGCTGCCTGTCTTTGGGGAGAAACATTCTCTATCACCATTCATTCGATGTGGCTGATGGATTAGACTGGGTTCAGGGGTTAAGTATGGAGACCAGTAAAGGTCTCCCCAGGGGAAAGTGCCAGAGCTGAGGCCTGGTGAAAAGCAGTAGGAATTGATGAGTCCTGTCAGGGAGGATGTACACGAGATGCATGATGGCGACAGGCTGAGGCCTGCGGCTGCGGGGGTGTAGTGGTGGTATCAGACCCAAGCAAAACAGAGTGTACAAATCAATTAGCTACAGCTGGCACAGGGGAGAGCGGGGGGGGGGGGGGGGGGGGGGGGGGCGGTGAAGTGTATCCCCTGTAGTCATCCTGTCTTTGGGAGAGAGGTAACTATTTTTAGGATTTGTTAAATTTGAGGTTCTAAGAAATCATGAAGTTTTATCTAATGAAGCAATATGTGATACATATATTTATTATAGAAATTTACTTTCTAAGCCTTAAATTAGAAGTGGATTTTAAGGGGAAGAAATAGGAATCCCCCTACTACTGCCACCACCAAAAATTAAAAGCTCAAGTTTTCCCAGGTTTTTACTATATTTATAAAATATATTTATATATCCATTGCGTATAAAAGAAATTGTGAAATAGACTGATGTGTGATACCTTGGTCGATGTCATTACTGGCCAGTGAAAGGCATGAGACTAGCTAGGAAAACATACACTCATCTTTCTGGATTTATTTCTATTCATATTGGTGTCTTTCTTTCGTATCGTCACGTCTAGGGTGTTGGATGATGTTTCATACACTATCATTCCCATTTTTTCAAAAAGCAAATTACCTACTTATTCCTCTAAGTAATAAGTAGGCAACTCATGGCAAAACCAGTTTTTCTGCCAGTGTCTTCTCTCCATTGCATGTAATGGCTTCAAACTATACCCATGTGTTTATTTTTGTGGTAAAAGGAAGGTTGAAAAAGGGAACATTCCAAATGGTGTAGCCAAGATGGACAGAGTGCTACCTCTTTGATATTTCAGTTGGTCTAAATGAAGTCTAATAAAAGGAAGTTAGACTAGATGAATTCCTTTCAACCTTGAGTTGAAATCTTGGGGTCTCATGAATATTGAAACCTGGGATCTCTTTCAACCTTGAGTTCGTTTCAAGCAGCAAAAAATGTGTTGATGAGAGGAAGTGCAAAACCCGGAGGGACTGAGCTTGAATCTTCACCTCTTCCCTCTGATGCCCTGTGTTTACTCCACGTTACCTCTAAAGAAGTAATGTGTATCAGAGGAGTAGGGGGCAGGGAAACCCCTCATCTCCAGTAATTGGGATCTTCTCCAGATGCTATGAAAGGAACAACTTTCCTAACTACTATCTATATACAACTTACTATGTTCCTATCAATTTACTGGGTGTTTACATACATTAATGATCTTTTCCCAAACCTGCAAGGCAGTTATTGTTTTTCACCTTCTTTACTGAGACCAAGCAAGGTTAGATAACTTGCTGCAGTCACACAGCTAAATAAGTGGAAGAGTTGGGGGTTAAATTCAAGTTTGTGTGACACCATACTGTCTTCCCTGAGGACTTTTACCATGTCAGAGACTACTGGTCCTCAAAAGTAGTCCTCAGAACCATCAGCATATCCCTTGTCCATCACTAACTTACCTTGCTGCTAAGGAAAACTAATATTTTTCAGGCATCCCTGCCACTAGTGCTTTAGGGTAACTTCGTAAAGTTATTTCTTGTATAGTAATTAATATAATGAACAAAGTTAGGACAGTACTGGGCCCAAGTTTCTACTCTGTCACCATGGACAACTTATGTAATCTCTCTGGGTTGTAGTTTATTCTTATATAGAGTGGCACTAGCAGTATCTGCCTCGTTGGGTTGTCACGTACATTAGGTAAGATTGTGTAGCACACGTGGGCAGCGCTCAGGAGGCACCCGTTCTGGGCGGTGGGCAGTGTACTCTTCCTCTCTTTATGAGGCACCACATTAGCAGCTGCTACCGCGACTGCTGCTGTCGTTCTCATGATTCCGCTGATTCGTGAGGGAGGTTGATGCTTGTTTCCATCATTCAGAAGGGACAGTTCTCTTCTGGAGAGGGTACCCAGTTTTGTGTTGAATCGGAAGACAGAAGATGGTGCTCCTAAATCCTGTTTTTTATGCCAAAGGCTAGGATTATTCTCATGCAAGCTTGACGGATTAAGTGAATAAACAAATCAGTTAACAAAAATTTATGTCCTAGGAGAGTTACGTTGGAGCCCAGAACTACTTCTTCGTCACAGTTATCACAGTGTGTTAGGATTGTATCTATCTCGTTGACTGCTCTTCATCCTTCAGCACTCAGATCAAAAGAAGCTTTCAGAAAGTCTCCAGACTAGAGCACTCTACCTCTTTGTGAGCAAATAATTGTGAAGGGTGTTGTTTAGTGTCTGCTTTTCTTCTAGAACGTAAGCCCCATAGGGACAGAACCACGGCTGTCTTGTTCATTGCTGTATCCTCTTTGCCTAACCCAATTCAGTCCGTTCATCAGATACTCAGTCATATTTGATGAATGAATAAATCTTCATTACCAGCATGCATATGAAAGATAGGAGAGAGATTATTCTGGCCTGCATGCCTTTCCACTTCACTGTGATCCATAATCTGGATACAGCCATTTTAGAAAGCAGTTTGGAGTTTAAAATGTTAAACATATATCTACCACGTGACCCCGCCATTCTCCTCACAGAGATTCACCCTAGAGAAATAAGAGCATAAGTATACACAAATACTTGTACGCTAATACAAGTATTAGTATTTGTACTTGCAGCTTTTATTTGTAAAAGCCAAAATCTGGAGGGGAAAAAAAGAAAAGTCTTATCAAAAGTTGAATGAATAAACTAATTGTGGTCTATCCATACAGTAGAATACTACTCAGTAATAAATTGATGAGCCACCGATGCGTACGACAACATGGTTGTATCGAAAAATAATTATGCCGAGTGAGTGAAGCAAGATGAAAAAGAGAACATATTTTATGATTTCATTTATAGAAAACACAAACTAATCTTTAGTGATCAGGAGATCGGTGGCTGCCTGGAGAAGGGGTAGGGAGGGTCAGCTTGAAAAATGTATTAAAAGGGGGGCCATATGGGTTCAGTGCAAACCACAAAACATTGCTGAGAGAAATTGAACAAATTCATAAATGGAAAGATGTATCATACGTCTGAATCCAAAGACTCACTATTATTAAGTTGTAAGTTCTCCCCAAACTGATTTATAGATTCAAAGCAAGCCCAGTCAAAATCCCAGAAGGCTTTTTAAAAAGTTAAAATTGACAAGCTAGTTCTAGAATTGAAATGGAAACACAATGGGCCTGGAAAAGCCAAAGCAATTTTAAGAAAGAAGGACAAAATTGCGGGACTACCTTATTTTAAGACTTCTATAAAGCTACAGTAATCAGGACTCTGTGGTACTGGTGTAAACTTAGACGTGTAGATCAATGAAATAGAACAGAGTCCAGAAATAGACCACACGTGTCATCAATCAGTTTTCAGCAAAAGACCCAAGTCAGTTCGATAGCGGTGGGACAGGCTTTTCACTAAACGGTGCTGGAGTAATTTGATATCCATATGTCAGTTCAGAATGGATCCTAGCCCTAAATGCAGGAACTAAAATTATAAAGCTTCTTAAAGAAAACAGTGGAAAAAGTTCTAGTGTACCTGAGCTAAGCAATGTTTGTTTTTTTTCCTTTAAGTAAGAGACAAATAGCACAGTATATAAAAGAAACCAAATTGGACTTCATCAAAATTAACACTTTTTAAAAAGACACTTCTAAGAAAATAAAAAGGCAAGTCATAGACTGGGAAAAATATTTTCAAAATATATAAAGAACTCTCATACCCCTCAGTTAAAAACAGGCAGAAGATTTGAACAGTTACTTCATAAAAGAAGATATAGAGATGTAAACTAACATATGAAAAAACTCTCCACCTCACAGTCATTAGGGCAATCCTAAAGTAAAGGCACGATGAGTTACCACTATATACCCACTAGAATGATGAAATAAAATTTAAAATACTGATAGTGCCACATGTTGGTTAGACTGTGGAGCAACTTAGAAGTCTCATACATAGTGGTAAAAATGCTAAATGGTACAACCAGGTTGGGAAAATGTTTGGCAGGTTCTCATAAAGTTAGAAAAAGTTATACTTTTCATATGACCCAGCTTCCAAAAGAAATAAAAACGTATGTGTATGGAATTACATATACTACCAAATGTAAAATAGCTAGCTAGTGGGAAGCAGCCACATAGCCCAGGGAGATCAGCTGGGTGCTTTGTGACCACCTAGAGGGGTGGGATAGAGAGGGTGGCAGGGAGATGCAAGAGGGAGGAGATATGGGGATGTATGTATATGTATAGCTGATTCACTTTGTTATAAAGCAGAAACTAACACACCACTGTAAAGCAATTATACTCCAATAAAGATGTTAAAAAAATTTAAAAAAACAGAACAAGCAAAGAACAAAATAAACCCCACAAATTATCACTATCAGGAATGAAAAGGAATTAAGGAAGTGTTGTCACTATA